CATTCGTCTCATACAGGAATTGTTCAAATGATGGCCCTTGCAAGAAGTTATGTCTGGTGGCCAGATATGGATCTCGATATAGAACAATTTGTGAAACAATGTACACCCTGCCAAATAAATCATAAGAATCCTGCTAAAGTGTGGCATCCATGGGAACCAGAAAATGCACCGTGGAGAAGAATACATGTTGATTTCTTAGGACCTGTCTGAAATCAATACGTTATACTGGTTGTAGATTCATTCTCTAAATGGTCAGAAGCCTGTCCCGTGACACAAGCAACATCAGAGAAAACCATAGAGTTTTTGGAAGATATCTTTGCACGATTCGGCCTACCTTATACAATGGTGAGTGACAATGCTTCGATATTTAAATCAGAAGAGTTTTGTATTTACTTAAAACAGAATGGTACAACAGAACAGAAAACAGAATGGTGGAATTCATAGAACCATTGCACCCTATAATCCGCAGAGCAATGGCCAAGCAGAACGCTATGTTCAAGAAGTGAAAAGGTACTTAAGAAAAGAAGTGGACACAAAGGGAAACCTAAAAGAAAAACTTCTTAAAGTTCTCTCATCTCACCGGCGAACACCGACGTCGACAACAACAAAAAGTCCGGCGGAATTGATGTTTGGAAGAAAACTGTGGATTTCGTTAGATGTGTTGAGACCTTCACCGGAGTCAACATTTAAACCTACCTTTTGCACAGCCCAACAAGGACGTACATCTTTCAAAGGAACCATAAGAGAGTTCAAAGAAGGTGAACATGTTTTGGTGAGAGAAATTATGAAAAATGGCAAAATTGTTTGGAGAAAAGGTGAAATAAAGAAAAGAATTGGAAGAGTGATGTACTCCGTTGCTGTTAATGACATGTTATGGAGACGGCACATAAATCAACTTCGGAAGATATAGAATTCACAGTCTCCTTGAACTACTTTATGTGAACTATTTCATGGGGGAAGAGTTTGTACTGTCTTAAAACAGATATACTAATTTTAATAGTTTTCAGCTGACTTAATTGTTTGTTTGTTTGTTTTTGTTTGTGTTGTTTATGATTTAGAAATGAAGTAAAAACTATGTAACATAATTTTAGTTTCATTTTATATTTAAAACAGTTTACACCTTGTTACTCCATATGTAAGGCTTGAAAAAATCCGGTATTGTCATGTTTAGTTGTTAACCATCAACTTGGTCCTTACAATAAACTCCCATTAGCTAAAAAATTTGTTATATAATTAAATTTAAAACAACTGTAGGCCTAACTCATTTTCTAAAGGACCAATCCTACTACTCTGTAGCTGACTACATGGACGATCGCCTACTATCATGACCTGTCAATCTGTAAATGTAACATATTTTATTTGTTCTCATTTTTCATATTTATTTGTTTCACTAGTTTCAACTCTTTATCCTACCATGTCCATTTCTTGACATGACCTGTTGCATTATCTGTATGCTTAAGGAAATAAAAATCAATTGTCTTTTGACAATAGAGTTAGCAGATTACCTATGCAATAGTTTCAAAAGAGCAGGGCCGGTCCTAAACAGTTTTCTAAGGTCAGCAAACAACATTTGCCCCTCCCCCTTTTTAAAACAACTTATATGGTAGTAAGGCTTATCTCTGGATAAATGTAAAAATACGAGTAATTATAAATGCTTAAGGACGTTTGAAACGTGCGAACATCTGTCGGATGAGTCTATTTGGTATTATTTTTGGTTATTGTTATTTTGTAATAACATTAAATCAAGTCGGCCTAGTGGATATATGCACATGAGTCCCACCTTACGATTTCCGATTTTCTCTAATTCCTTACTCCTACAGTATTACAATTTGGCGTTGTCAATCAACTTTCAACCTCTAGCATTAAATTTATAACACAATAAGAAGCGAAACCTTGTTATGGGCTTACAGGGAACATGAGTAGGTTAGGACTATAGTTCACAGAGATTAAAACTAGGAGCCCCTCCAGTTTGCTGGCTCGAGAGGGTTGGAGATAGGAATGTGTCGGTTCTCGATTCTAATTCTCAATACCATCGATACTTGGACATTAGTATCGGTATCGAGAATCGATTAAAATAAGTCGTTGAACATTAGAGACAGCTTAGGCGCCCCCTTTTTCTTGGCGCCCTACACGACTGCGTATTTTGCTTACCCAGCTTAAGCCGGCCCTGCAAAAGAATAGGGAAAAGGTGAGGCTTCTATCAGGCCATAGGCCTAGACTTCAACACTTTAAATCCTAAGAACAGCCAGTTTTTGATACAGTGAGTCTCTATTGTCCGACTCTCACTGTGGATGATTGAGTACCGTGGAATCACAATTCTATCATGCTATTTCTGTGCGGTATGACTGTACACAGCAGTAGTAGGAGCAAGACCCCCAGATGCCCGTCTTGCCGCCCAGGCTGTACTCAAAACTATGCACCAGGCTTTAGTGACCTGCACCTAACTGTACTTTTTCCTAGTACATGCCACACGGCATATACCACACAGTAGCAGACTCTACACCTGCTCTCTGCCACCCCTGCTGTTTGAAGTTTAGTGCAAAACAAGATCTGTGTCTGAGTGGAGGGGTATCGCTTTGTTCTATATTCTACATTTTATTGATAGATGACCTTTGGATTGTATGAGTTAACTAACAAAGGTATAACATCCCTGTTGTCTGTCAAAACAAACAATTTTAATATAATTTAACTAGAGTTGTTTTGTGCTGTCAAAAATAGAGCACATAATCAAGTTAGTGCTTTGCTAATGATCCCTCATGATGGAGTTTGTCAGGAGATTTAAATGAAACAAAAAATACATAACACAAAAAAGATTAAACATTTTTATTAAATTGGTCGACGATTCAGCACAAGACCCGGCGCCGGTGGAAGATAAGTTACGAATGTCAACATGTTGGTAGCGTTGACCTCTACACCACTGTGCTATCCTTATCCAGTCCTTTTTTTTGCCCCCCTGGCTATCAGTGAATGGTAATATTGTAGATAATTACAATATTATCGCAGGTGGAGCGAGCTGGTCTAGTGGTTAGAGCGCAGGACTCTGGTTCCTGGGGTCTCGGGTTCAAATCCCGCCAAATCACCAATGGATTTTATCTAAGTGATAATGCCGTAACCCCTAGGTCTAGCCTGAAGTAATGTGAAAAACAATTCCAGGCTCGTGCCTAGCGTCCTAGGAAAAAAAAATATTGTAGATAATATTGGATTCAAATGATAATTTTTCATTAAAAATGTTTTGTAGTTGCTTTTTTGATACCCTATAAATTTTTAATCCTTCAACTGCACACTAATACACTAACATACATAATTATTTAGAATCAGTACCTACATTTTGACTACAGTAGCCTACTTAGTGTGGTGCTGCATACTTATGTAATATTTTTGTTGTACAATTCAAACATTCTTGTAGGATATTACCTTATGTATTTATTTAGAGATGTAAATAAAGATTATTTGATTTGATCATTATATATTGGTTGTTTCGTATGTACAATTTTTATTCTCTTACTTTAATGCATTGCCATTGTATAGCATTTATGGTTTGTAATTATAGCCGTTTTGGGTAGTATACTTGTAGCTATTGTTGTACATTATTGTTGAAACAGCTACTGTAATCAAATAACAGCCTAATGTACGGAACCACACAATGAAAATGTGTTTTGACTTTGTATATGTAGTTATGAACAAAACAACATGTTATTTGCAAGTTAGGAGCTATACACAGTTAGGAGTCAAAAACAAAAAATCTGAATAAATGGCAGTCTTCTGTACATTGAATATCCTTAGGAATCAGTAAAATTGTATTATTTCTGTTGCAATACGAATGAAGTTCTTGATCAAATCCCGCGACTTTGGGATTAGTCTAAACGATCCTGGGATCAAAGGATAAATCATGGGATTTTATTATATTAATGTTATCACGTTTAGCTATACAGATCTTATTTTAAACACGTTATGACAAAGACACATAATCACGTATTACACATCTACAAAATGCCACTTTGTTTCCTACTAGTAAAACATTATGTTTAGTAACTCCACAGAGAAGTAAGATACAGAGGATACAAGCTTATGGGACAACCGTGCACTTTTAGCTCCCTGGTATGGTGGGGCGGTAATGTACCGGTACTTGTACCAAACAAGGAAGAGCCACAAAGCATTTTTGTACAGCAGTTGTGGCACGCAGGGCCTTCCTACAGTGTGAGTGCTGTAGTATGTGATGGCGAGGGGAAGGGGACGACAATTAGATTTCGCTAGGAAGTGTACCATTGAATCTATCTTACTTCTCTGAGATAACTCCTATTTGGACTAATACTTACCAACACTCCTGTTGCCACCAGCCAGTTGTACTCACAGTTCTCTGTTTTCTTATCTTTATCTCGCCACAACAAACACAATGAAAGATATATCATTTCAAAGATTTTAGATTTGCAACAACAAATATATTTTAAGAGAGTACAATGGATAAAATTTACTTGATTTTACGATTTTGTTAGCTTTTATTGAATCATCTGGAGCAGAAAAGATTTTATTTCACACCAGTAAAATAATATACTAAGATTCAAATTATAAATAAAATAATATACTGTACTAAGATTCAAATTAGAAATAAGTTGTTCTATAGTAGCAGCCCGTGTAAGACACGCACGGTTTTGTAAACTTTAAAATAATTACTCATCTCACTAGTCTAGAACAAATAATAAAGATAGAATGATAAACATAAAACCTAAGTAATGCAATTGGTGTGTTTGAAAACTTAGCAAATTGTATCTAGACTTACAACATTATTAAGAATTATTTCAATCACTGATTGTCACGTTATGGTTCCCATATTAAATGGGTTTTTTGTGTTCTGTGTTAAGTTAAACATCTCAAGCTAACATAAAATTATTAAAACTATAAGTTTTGTAATCCTGTTAATTCCAGAGTTTTAAGGTTTTTAAAACCTCCGGGGTCATATCATGTGTGTATAGTGCCTATAATCATGAATATGTGGTTTTCAGAATGGAAGAGAGCGGAGAGAAACAAAACGCAGTGTCCGAATGGTTTGCCTCCCTCGTCTTGTCAGCAGCCAAAGACCCATGGGGCTTCATATACACGTTCTTTTTGTACATGTCTCCTTTGCTTGTGGCATCACTTTTTCTTTCCTTCAAACTGGTTAAAGATCTCAAGTCTCAAAAGACTGATAAGAAGAAAAAAGTCAAACGAGACAACAAAGGGAAAAAGAAAAAGACCAAAGGTAAGTTTTGTTAGTTCAGTAACTTCAGTAAGTTCAGTAGTTGGATTAGTTCAGTCTTGATTATTCAAACAAAAACGGGCGTGTCAAGTTTAGATAAACTGTCTTGTGACAGGTTGCCGAATTAAACACAAACTTTAAAACAAAATAATTTATTACAATAAAAAAAATTAACTTCCGACTTGCTGTACCATTCACAAATGTTTGAATTTAGGTCTATTAACAAATTTACAAGTACAATTTCAGCTTAAGAGTAAAATAACAATTCTGCGGCATAGCTTTACAATGCTAAGTTAAAGATTATCATGTTTGGTTTCATTTTAGAAAAAAAGGGGGGAAACATAGCTTCCCGAGGAGGCTATGGGAAAAGGAGATGCGGAATTTAGGAATTCGACCGTCCGAACCGAATTTAGACTAGCTTCAGCTTAGTTCTCTCCGTTTGTAACCAGGTTGGCTTTAGAGGGGCATCGACCAATCAACATTGCGGCTATGCCGCATGACGCCAGTCGGTTGGCCGTAAGTAGCTGCTTCCTAACGATCACTTGGGGCGTTAGACAACCTGTAGTTGCGCAGTTACTTGGTTCAGCGAGGAATTTACTGTGCTGATGCAGAAGTTAGGAGGTTAAAACAGTTCAATGTTACAGACCATTCTTTTAAAGTTGGAATAAAGCAAAGATTTTGTGACGGTATTGACAGGGTTTCTAGAGGGTGTAGCCATAAACCCTCCCCAGCTGATTTGTTATTGGTCTGGGATTTTTTGGGGCCGTCACAGTCTCAATAAGTTGTCACATGTTACTCAATTATCCACAGAGATAGTCAAATTACATGGAAGAGTTCATTTTCCTACTACTGGATATTAAAGATTTAAATTATTAAATTAACTGTTACCTGTTCAATATCGATTACAGTTACCTGTTACCTGTTCGGTTTTGTTGGATGACGACCGGTTTCACAAGTGTATTTAAGCAATCGTTCTATGAGGATTGATCTGATGATGTGACCGTCCTCACGAAACCGGTCTTCACCCATCAAAACCAAAGGATATTGAATAGGTAACAGTTTATTTAATAATTTAAAATACATGTAAGGGCTGTTAATAAGACTCCCCTGATTCTGTTAAAAAGGAATAATAGTTTTTTAAGTAAATTTTTGATTATTTTGCCCAAACCAGCTGGAAATGAAAAGGTAAGATAATATGGACCATAATAAAAACCATTGTAAAAAGTTAAAAATCATAAAACCAATAAAATATTTCTGTTGTTAAACTTATCATAGGCTTTAAGTTTGTATTTAATTTAAACTGCTATCTTAGAATACATAGTGGTGGTTTTCGCATCAACCGCATAGTCAGTTTTGTGTGAGTTGGTGGCTCAGTTGGTAGCGTCACGGACTTCGGGCCCAAGGCAGCGATGTCGTGGGTTCAGATCCTGGTCACTGCCACTAAAATTTATTAGTACAGTTCACCTTCGTACTGTACCGGCTCACCCCTTGCTTTGCTGGATGCGTTCCACGCACAGATCTGTAGTCTATGTGGACGGGCAAATGCAAGGTTAAAAGAGGTCTTAAAAAAAAAAAAAGTTGTGGATAGTTGACAGACGTTTTCCCCTTACTGTGAAGTGGCATACTCATTGGCTAGGCTGAGACTAAATAGGAGAAGTTCGTCCAGGTATATTTATCGCTGGGGGTGAGGACATTGGCACGCCCGAGGATGCCTAGGCCTACCCGTGCAGTATTGAAGATTAGTGGATGCAGATACACTATTCCCATGATACTGTGCGTTTAACATGGGTTTTATATGGGCAATTGGAGTTTTGGGTTAATTAATAGAAAACGACCAAAGATAGGCGGTAGGTTTAAATTTAAAAGTTGTTTGTTTTTACAAGACCTTAAAAATGATACACAATATTACATATGTTGCCATTTAAAAATTTTCATTTACAAGGCTACCAACTTAAAAAAAAATTAAAATCATAGAAAAAATATTTAGTTTTTAAAATGTTGACTTGTCGTATATCAAATTAAAGCTGAACCTACGAGGATTAAGAATTTTCAAACAGAACGAAAATAAGTTTAGTGGTTGTCAAGATACAGGGTATTCTGTATCAATATTTTCTATAAAAATGGCCGCCATTTTGAAACGGTCAAAGATAAATGAGTTCTGTTTTCACTAAATTGTTTGTCTAGTCTAGAGCTTTAAAATGATGCATAACATGACATATGTTTACATTTGAAAACTCTGAGATTCAAACCCATGACCCCCAGTTTCTTGAACACCCTGTCTTTTTAAAATGGTAAAAATATTTTTACGTTGTTCCTTGGGTATGAATTAGTGGGGAAAAGTTTTGTTTCATCTCTGTATGTCAAGCCGTTCGTCTGTAATCTGTTTAGGACAGCTTAGAAGATTCACCCTGTATATGTGAATTTGAACGGATGGTAGTTTTGGCCTCTAGGGACCTCAAAAAAACCTCAAAAAATTTTTTGACCTAAAAAAAAATCGGTCCCGGGTCCAAGTCTTACCATGAGTACTACGGTAATAGCTTATTCCCTATATGGGACATTCGCTAAAATCAAACGATATTGTCAAAACTGCAAGAACTACTTACCTACCACATAAATCTTAGCAAGGTAACACAATCTTAGATTTAATTGTGTGAATAATTTACTCCCTTAAAATTTTGACTAGCTCCACATGTGTTACATTTAAATTGCTACTTTATTTCGTAATCTCTGTATGAGGTGCTTTGGCTATTGCTATACAAGTTATCAATGTTTACGTTTTAATAGGAAACCATATTTTAATTTGTGTTTTTTTTTCAGATGGCTGATACTAAAGAAGACGCTCATCAAAGGTGATGTAAGTCATTCTTTGAACTTCAGCAAAATGGAATTTTTCTATGATTACATTTGTGTTTGTATGTAAAAAAAAAACCATCACTGATTGTAAATTACTTTACGACAAATAGTGATATTTATAAAAAAAAGTTTCCAATAATCCCATCAGCCTTGTGATTTTTATTGCGTGTAGTAACACTAGGAAAATTTTTTACTTCATCCCGTTTTCAAAATTTCAATTAAGTTTCTTTTTATGAGTATGAAGGACTTAAAAATACTCCTGGTCAATTTTTTGTAAAAAACTAATTTGTTACGGTCAAATGAGAACAGTATTATATAAATTTTACTGCAGCCAACAGTAGAAATGGGAAAACCTGTTAATTTGCAGTAATAATCTGGAACGTTCCTTAAGTATCTTTTTGGTAATAGGTGTAATAATACTATTATTTTAGTCAACTATTACTTCTTCATCAAGGACGATACAGCCGCTCGCCGTTAATAGGAAGACAGGACCAGCGTTATCTCACTAATAACAGTTCAGACGACGTTATAAAAGTAATCGTATTACCAAGGTACTATATTATTTTGTGATGCTTGCTATTAATAGGAAGATGCAATCAGCGGGATGGTTATTTCATTCTTTCAGTTCAGATGCCGTTAGTAAAATGATAGGGTATTCTCAGTAATCTATTACCTAGGTTATGTAAGTGATACTTCGGTAATAGTAATATTTATCCTATTATTCCTATTACGTCAAATAACGCCCACCTCTAACTTGAAAAGAGTTATCAAGTTGATTTTTCCTTAGTTTCAAATAGTAGTGTGGTACCATAGATAAAACATAGTCCCTTAGCAGATTTCCCATCCTTATAGAACAGCTGAAGCCGATTTTATTGTTAGTTCTGTCCGGTTTTCTGTAATAACCTCTACTACTACTACTAATTAAATACCTCGTTTAACCAAATAAAACTATCTAATCATGAACAATAACTCTTCCATTAGCTTGATAACCAAACAGTGAGACACAAATAATGATAAACTAACCCTAAAATAATAGAAACAAATTGTAAACAAAATACGACATCTACAGAAAATTGGACAGAACTAACAATAAAATCGGCTTCAGCTGTTCCTTAAGGATGGGAAATCTACTAAGGGACTATGTTTTATCTATGGTCGTACTAAATTACTTTTGATCAGTGATGGTTTTTGTGTGTAGTTTTTAGTTTATGGGTACTTTAGCACTGATTTACATTGTATAGTATATTTAAAGTTAATGCAAAGTGTTTTGTACTACATTTGGTGTTATAGTGAATATTAGTGTCACTGTGCACAGTGTTACCCCTCTTGATATGCAACCAGGCTTTTGGTCATTGATTTAACTGTTTATTATCTTTTATATTTAAGGTGGTAAGTTACTATCAAAATGATTTACTAAAAGTTTTATTTAGTTCTTTTAAGTCATTAAAAGTTGATTAAATTATAAGCTACTTTCATTTCTGTAAAGATTCTCTTCAACAGACTATGCCCATAACCACAGTTTGAAATTCTCCATAGGATAAAATATATTTAAACACAATTTTATTTACGTGTACGTAATTGTTGTTGAACCTGATTGTGATGAAATTTTGTACAAACAAGTTACAGGTAAACCAATATTTTTTAAATTTTACATATATGGTAATCATTATTCAACACCTAAAAATTACCGAACTTTTCAACTGGTAAAGGTAGTTCATTGTCTCATAAATACCAATCAATTCTGCGACTCAATAAAATGCACTTTTCTAAAACAAAATAAAATAAATTGCATTTTATTTTAAACATTTGTTTGCCCTTGCCTCCAAAAAATGATGTAACCCTACTGATCCAACATTTTTGTATGGATTTTAATCGTTCAAATATGCAGATTCTGTAATTTTCCAGGGGTAAGAAGATTTATTTGAGGAACTTTAGTATCTCAAGAATGGAAAGGTTGTGATAATATTAATAAATACTATTATTAATAGAATATTATGGTTTTTGTCAAGTTTCAGTAAAACTCTCATCAGTTTAAACTTGGACTTTCCAAAATGATATTGATTTTATTTTTAATGGACTGTACAAAGAATCAGGGAGGTCTTCTTCAAGAAAGATTAACGAGGATTGGGAAGGGAGGCTGGCATTGCCTAACATTTTGAGTTGATACTTAGAAAAGCCTGTTATCTTGTTTTGATGGTTAGATCTTGGACCAAGCTTTCATGAATCGTAAGAGGTTTCGAGACCTTGAATAGCACGTAGGGGTTTAAAATCTTGACTATAAAATTGGCTGGTTCTTAGTAACAAAGATCAAGGTATTATTCCATCCTACGTTCATAAATTACACAAATTAAGTATAAGCTGTACTGAAAGTATCAAAGAACCAACCTTTTTCTGTAGTCTATATTGGTGTAAGATGTTGTATGTTGTACATTTTAGGTTTCTCAATAATTTTTCAAGCCGTAGCCTTGCAAAGGAAAAGTTAAAATGATTTGAGAAAATTATTTTAAGAAGTTTGAACAACAAATTTTCCCCAGGGTAAAAAAATCAATGAGGTACATTATAATGGAAGGTTTCAAGTTATCTTGACTTCAATGTTAAGCAAGAAAAACAGGTATTACTGCCTTCACTCAGATTATGTTCTTCTAGTTAAGATTTTGAAATGTCGAAAGTACCTTGGACAGTCTGTAAAATGGTATTAGGTTAGTCAGTGGCTCAGTCAGTAGTGAGACAGACTACGAAACCGAGGTAGCAATGCCGTGGGTTCGCATCCCAGTGCTACCCTTGATATTTAATAGTACAGTTCATTCTTGTATTTTATTGGCTCACTTGTTCTTTTCTTGGTAAGTCAAATGTACAGACCAGAGGCCTATGTGGAAAGGCAAATGCAAATTTTAAATTATCTTGTATACAAACAAAATGCAGCTTCTGGGAAATATTAAGTGTTTGGAACTATAAAAAACCCTATGTTCATTCATGCTGCATCACCTCTCGTGAAAAGAGAATATTGGTTAAAACTGCCAGGTCCCAGTTCTGGGATTTATCAACTTAAATTTTAACTCTCTGTCTAATCCATGATCTTTGCCTCCATTTGACAATATCATATTCACAGTATATGAAAGCTTTCATGGCCAGTGTTACAATACCTTGATTTGTTTTTGTGTCAACCGCATCAGATGACATTTGCCCTTTCTGTTAAGTGGGTTGTTGGCTTTAGTTGCTAGGTTGAGTTTCATGGCAAAGATGGAGACATCTGGCTTTGATGAGTTGTGATTCGGTACATAAAACGAGAGATGGATGAAAGTACTGACTAGAAAGTATTACTGTCTACTCAATTATTTATTTAATAATTTTTATTGTGTTCATAAAATGCCAAAACAATCATTGTAAAAAATCTCATTGCACTTACTTATAAGATTAGTATTTTAAGTTTTGTTGTATAATATAAATTTGATGCTATACTCTACCTTTTTGTACTATGTGTTCTTTAGTTATGTAAGTAATATTTATTCAAATTTTGTACTACAGTAAAAAAGACATAGCTTCTATTTGCTATTAGTTGTTTATTTAGTGATGCTTCTGTCATCTTGGACTAAGTTATGAGAGTGAAATTTGAATTATTATCACTGTAGGCGTGTGACATGTTAAATATGTCTTAAAAAATTAAAAGTGGTTAGAAATAGTTCTAGCCATGATTAAACGTTGTAAAAAAGGTAAGATTTACATACAAGCACTTACCCACTATGTTGTTAATCAGGTCTTTTGGCCTTCACGCAGCCTTGTATAATATAATGAAAAAACATGTAATGAAAGAGAAAAAACAATAATTGTCATAGCATGAATACATTTTTCACAGGATAATTATTTATGTTTATTTATCCCTTTTCTTATGATGTTATAGCTTTGAAAAGTAATAACAATCTTCCTAATCCTATTCCCCAACTGCACCAAAAGATTTTTTTTAGGGATATCCGGTACTAATAATCAAGAGGCTATCCACCTAATTAAGTGTTTGTGTTACATCATCTTGTATTAAATTCTTTGTATGCGCCCTTGGAATCAAACATGAGATATTTAAATAAACAATCCAGTTATTCTACCAGCCACTCACAAAATACCTAGGTCAGTTAGTTGGTACAATACCTTGATTCCACAATACCAAAATTTAAATTTGTCAACCCTCGTTTTGTGATATTGTTCTTACATGATTTTAAGAATCGTAATCAATTGTAGGGTGAATTAAAATAAGTTGTCACAATGTTTTGTTTATTTAAAATAAAATTTTATTTAAAAAATGTATTGTACATGTTTGAATAATTGTTCAATGATTCTGTCCTATATAAAATCACACTTTTTAATAACGTAAGCGTACAAGAGAAAACTTTTGATTGATCATGCTCCAATATTATTTTGCTCCCTGAGTGGCTAGTACACTAAAGTTCTAAACAGTGCATGGTTAAAGGTATACTCACGAAAAAAGTTAATTATTATGTAATGGCTTTATTTAAGTTTCATAGACATATTTTTTTCTTTTTACAGTGAGCTGAGTACGGAGGCGGGCTTTTTAAGTAAGAGCCAGCTTTTTTGCATAAAAATCGGTAATTCGCTTGTACGCCGCAATGAGTCAAATCACCATTTATTATTTACTGGCACATTTGTGAACAGAATGATCCAAATTTCAGCTCTGTCATGTACATCCCTGTGTGTTCTTATAATTTTTTAAACAGTAAAACCTCCCGCCACGTCAGGGGTAAGGTCAGTGTTGATTACAAGAAATGTATCTGATGCCGACATTCCACGCCAGATGACTGGAGATTATGACCCTGATGCAAAGATAGAGTGGAAAGTGTAGAAATAGGCTAGGGAGTTTAAATATGGCAGTGAAAATGCTCATTTTGGAAGGAATTGTGTTTTGGTCAATGATTTCTTATTTTGACTTCTCATAGAAGACCACTAAGAAAAAAAGATTTCACAGCCATTTTACACTCCAAAATCCATTTCCACACCTTACCCTCACTCATTGCATTAGGGACATCACCTTCAGTCATTTGGCGATGAATGTCAGCATCAGATATGTTTCTTGTAATAGAAAAAGTATCACTGACCTCATCCTTCTCGCAAGCGGGAGATTTGATTGTTTAAAAAATTTTAAAAACACACAGCGATGCTTAAATGACATCTACAGAGCTGAAATTTGTTTCATTCTGTTCACAAATTATGCCAGTAAATGATTATGAGCCTCGTTTCGGCATACAAGGGAACTACAGATTTATATGCGAAACCAGGCATTACTTAAAAAACCACCTTTGTATTTTGTTATAAACGTCACTTAAGATACTTCATATTAAATATTGTGTTCTTATCCAAGTCTCAAGAACAAATAGTCATATCAATCTTGGTAACTTCTTGTTGCCAGTTTCTTGGAGTTTGGTGGAGCTTGATGTACATTTTGCCACTTGCGTGGCATCATCAGGAGCAAATGTTGATTTACATTATAATTAAATCAGGCTACTTCAAATTCACTTTGTTTGCAAGTTTACTGTTTCAGATGCATCTGTTAAGATTTTTTTAAAAGCATAAGGAAATACTTCCTCTAAAATAATGTAGATGCTACACTTTATGTGTTGTCAATATGTTCACCAAAACCCCAAAATCTAAACCAAGTTAAGTGTCCCAATTAATTGATTGTAGTGCTTAAACACATGCAAATGGAAAATAACACATTCGAGTGAGCTCTCATTTGTAAAATAATTTTTAACACCTCAAAAATGTTTATTTTTAGCTATTCAAACACAAACAAAAAGTTAATTGTAAAACACACAATACCAAACGAAACTTAAATAACTGTTCCTTAAAGTTTAATGCCTTCGAGTACTTGATGCCAATTACTTGAGTTTTTTTTTCAAAATGTCCTCCATTCTCCCTGATACACAGCCAAGCTTGTTTGCACATGGCATCAACAGTAACTTTAAAAGACAATGTCCCTCTGACTAGCACATCTGTGTTCATTTTTCGGTTGTGAATTTCCTGATTATCGTCCACTAAATATGAGTAGACCAAGTAATCCACGTAGCCACACAAATAAGTCCAGTGGACATGAGGTCTGGCACCTGGCATGCCAGCGAACCACACCATATGACCTATCATTATCATTATTATCATCCAAGTTGTGTATTTTGCATCAAGGTAATCTTGCACATCTTTGAATCTATCAAAAAAACTAACACCGTAAACGATATTTAATTTTTATCAATAATGAAAAAAACTCTAGTTGATGATTTATCACAAAAACATAGGTTCGTAAGGTTTTTAATCCTAACAATTCCCCAATATTCTTATTTGGAATTTTACAAGGATTCTGAAAACTACAATAAACTCCACTTTAACATTATTTTTAGTGCAGCTGTTGCCATATAATTCAAGCTAATACATGTTTTTATACACAAAAGTAAGTATATTTTAGCCGTTCCGTGTTTTTCAAAAGAAACTCTTAAATTTAAGAATGGAAAAGCAAAGAAACAGTAAATTTGTATACATCATCTTATAGGTTATGAATTGAAGAAGTTTTTTGTAATATTTGACACTCTCTACATTCAAGTTTAACGTAGAAAAGTTTATTGCATTTTTCACAAAAATCACAAATTTAAACTTCCATTGCAGAATAAACGTATACAGATGTTTCATCTCAGTAAATTTGTACTATTACTATTGGAAATTTAATGAGGATTCTGAAAATTACATTACATTCTTAATAAAATCTATTTTTAATGCACTTTATGGCCATTTTATGTAAGAAAATACAAATATTTTTAAAAAAGCTTTTTTTTTCTTTTATTCCCTACCTGTGAGGGTATGGAGATCTAAATTAGTGCAATTTTATCACCAATACTAAGTAGTTTAACACAATACAAATTTTTAACACTAACTTCGTTCCACCCTGTATTTCCTTCAACTCCAACCAGTTATTTGCAAAAATTTTCTTTTAGGCTTCTCTTCCTGTCTTCAATTAGTTTTTGGCATTCCTCATTATACCAAGATTTTTTAACTATCCTATTTTTTCAACAACTTTTTCAGCTGACCCTTTGGCCTTTTTACTAATGATCTTTGTGGAACCATGACATTTAAAGTATAGCAATAAATTATAGAGGTGCAGTGTTGGTAGGGTTGGAGATAAAATTTAATGATGTTAAACCAAAAATCCTATCCCAAAACACATTTTATAAATCTGAAAAATTGTTGACGATTGCTTATGTGGTATGGTTTCATAAGTAATTAAAATTGTACTGCATAAAAATGCTTCATTACAAAAGCAATGGTGAACAGATGCATTGTCAATTAACTAGAAAAACTAAAACTAAAAGAAATATATCAACAAAATAATAACAGGAAACAGTAGGCCTACAATTGAGAGTAAATTGCAAATTTATCTGATTTATGCAGTGGAGTTTAAACCAAACAACACTAAAAAAACTTGAAGCAATTTTAAGAACAAAAACAATAAAATAATAATATCTTACATAAATTAATTGTCAATTAATGTCATAGGCCTTCAAGAAATATGCCAGGGAGCAATATGATTTTTCCAACATTAGTTCTTTGGTCCAAATTATAAATTTTTGTTGTGTGTATAAGATTTTATTATTGAAGGGATCTTAGTATATAAACGAATCCCCATATAAATAGGTTTTTTATAAAAAAATAGTTCGTGAATTTGATCATTTAGCATATTTAACAAATTGATAGGTCTCCTTTACCAATTGACAGGGATTATCTGAGAATGATGTCTATGTATTGGTTAATTAGTACCGGTACAGTATTTTCAACCATGCTATAGCTACCATCATAGATTAAAAGAAGTAGACATGCTACCACACAGTGACTGAGTGATCGACTATGGTCACAGTTGTACAAATAGTTCATTTGTGATCATTCCACTATCAACTAGACACTACTTTAATTCACCTTAGTCTGAACTGAATGCTTCACCTTTACAGAGTAAGTTATCATATGATAAATGGATTGATTGGGCATTGAACAGGTTTTCAATCACAAACTTGTATAGTTGGATATCACCAATTTTTGGAACCATGGGTCAATATTTTAACATTATTTTGTTAAATCCTTAAGCAACAATATATACAGGGTGTCCGGTGATAAGTGTTAAATAAAATTTTGCATTAAACTACACGGTAATGGTGACAGAATGTCGCAAATTTGAGGTTCCCAACTTCAACAGTTAGAGAATAACAAATAAATTAAGATTTTTCAAAAAATATTGTAGTTGTTATGAAAAAGGTTATTTTACTCTGTTAAAAATGCACTTAACGTCAACTTCAATGACATTTTCAGAATCCTCACAAAATTGTAAATAAATATAACACATAATCGTTGGGGTACGTAAAAATATTCTATTTAAAATTCTTCGTTAAACAAATTATTTTTATATCGACGAAAATGTAAATAACATTCAGCAGTTTATTTCTCGGTTGTTGAGTTCCGGAGAGGTTATCAAATATGACTAAAAACTTCCTTATTTAAAGGGCTTTACAATGGTGTATAATAGTTTTTACCGAATTTCAAATTTCCTAATGTAATTCGATCATTATTGTGAAAAAACATGGTAGGGCAAAGAAAATCTATCGTGAAGAATAATACATTTAAGTGCAGGCAACAAATAATTTGTATTTCTTTCTCGCATGCAACGCTTTGTTTATAACTACCCAGCTAAGAAAAGAAACATAGTAGTAAAATGTGTTTGTGATAAAGTTACGGTTATCGTATAATTTTCATATAAGATTTAAATTATCTCCCGGAATTTATATTTTGTTGAATGGATTTAGTCAATAGATTCAG